TCTTGAACCTGTTCGCAAACTTCAAAAACGAGCCCGGAGAATAATCACCCAATCTTGCTACAATGAGCCGAGTATGCCTTTGTTTATGAAAATGAATATTTTGCCTTATGATAAAGTACACGAATTAAAAATTGCCACGTGTGTTTTGAATGTTGTCAAAAACAACCTGCCTTTTCATGTTTCTTTATTTTGCACATCCTCTCGTGTAACCAGAAATCAAACATGGAAATTTCAATCTTCCTCCAACGAAGAACACTTACGGACAACGTTTGCTGCAGTTTTCAGGGCCAAAAATTTGGAATAAACTACCAGCAGAAATAAAACAGTCGAATAATTTTTCATCAGTTCTCAAGAAATACTTACTTACACAGAACAATGTTTATCAATGAAAACAATTATGATGCCATTTGTGTGTGTGTGTGTGTGTGTGTGTGTGTGTGTGTGTGTGTGTGTGTGTGTGTGTGTGTGTGTGTGTGTGTGTGTGTGTGTGTGTGTGTGTGTGTGTGTGTGTGTGTGTGTGTGTGTGTGTGTGTGTGTGTGTGTGTGTGTGTGTGTGTGTGTGTGCATATGTGTGTGTGTGTGTGTGTGTGTGTGTGTGTGTGTATGCATGTGTGTCTGCCAGAAACTTGTGAAATCGTTTAAAAATACCATTGTCACCCAATGATTAGGTTTTTCTTTTCGGTATTAGTCATGCATATTTTAACCTTCATAATAATGCAACAATCTGCTTTGTTTATCTGTATTTTCGTAAGTTAGAACTGTTAAAAACAATCGTGCATTTACCGACACTTTCGCTCTCCCTTTGTTTCATTCGTGCAAATTAACGATGCGCGATAACTATCTGTATGCGTGTGATATATCTTTTTTGTACATGGAACCATTAGTTATTATATTTTTTTGGACTCCCAACTAGCCTTCGGCTATGGGTCCAACCAGTCGTGATGTTTCTGTATGTTTCACAGTTTGCAAATAAAGAATTGAATTGAATTGAATTGAATTGAATTGAATAGATAGATAGATAGATAGATAGATAGATAGATAGATAGATAGATAGATAGATAGATAGATAGATAGATAGATAGATAGATAGATAGATAGATAGATAGATAGATAGATAGATAGATAGATAGATAGATAGATAGATAGATAGATAGATAGATAGATAGATAGATAGATAGATAGATAGATAGATAGATAGATAGATAGATAGATAGATAGATAGATAGATAGATAGATAGATAGATAGATAGATAGATAGATAGATAGATAGATAGATAGATAGATAGATAGATAGATAGATAGATAGATAGATAGATAGATAGATAGATAGATAGATAGATAGATAGATAGATAGATAGATAGATAGATAGATAGATAGATAGATAGATGCTCAAAGTGATTGCAGTATGCAAAGAAATGCTTCGCATCGAAAATGTTCGTCAGTGACAGTATATGTATCAGCTCTATTTTGTTTTTGTTTTTTCGTGTAGCCATTCTAATGGGCGTCGAAGTCAGGCTATTCATCGTTTACCATACAGGCTTACCCTGAAATTCTCGGCAATTACAAGATTTGAGAAAGTCCACCGAAAATGCGGATGTAGAAGTGCGATTTGTGTGACAATATTTCTGCGAATCAGTGTGCCAGTTTCTTGAAGTGGTGAAGGGACAAGAGGATGTACCAGAGTGGACTGTGAGCATCGAACTATTGGTACGAATGCCAAAGTATTGGCCAATAGTCTGCTCAGAGCTGACGGTTCTTCATTGTATTTTGTGGTACTTTTGTATTTTGTCGAGTATGTGAAATCAGCACAGTCTTCATATGCAAGGCAAGAAAAAAAAAAGACAGATCCCACGTACAGTAGGAATCGTTGATATGCGAAGCACGAATGAGAAATGTTGATATGTCACTTTAAAATCAGCACAACGTTACAAGGTGGAGGTAAACGATGCCGTACATGACTTCCGTGTCATGATTGTTATGTTTGGATGTGTCGTTTACCTTCGCCATCTATTCACGTCACGTGATACCAAATTTAGTATATGTGGAGGTAGCGAAACGGCCGCGAGCACGCTATGAGCGTGGTATGTTGTCATCTTCTTACATGATGCGCTTGTCAGGATTATCATGTTTGCACCAGTCGTATACTTTCGTCATCTATTGACGTCATGTAACACCAAATTTGGTATACATGGAGCTAGCAAAACGGCCGCGAGCGCATCATGAAGGGCCCAATATACTCCAATGTAGCGTTGACAAGCGCGCACGCTGGGCACAGCGACGCTACGTTGGCGAAACGCGAGTCGGCGCGGTCCTACGGCAACCGGCGCGAAATGCGACATGCTGCGTTTCGCGCCGATGCGTTACCCAGACAA